GTCTTGAAATCCATTTAAATGGTCAAAATAGTGAAATTAATAAACCTTTTATTCGTCACAATAATCACGTAAGTTCGTAAAATTCTCTCTCTCTCTCTCTCTCTCTATATATATATATATATATATGTGTGTGTGTGTGTGTGTGTGTGTGTGTGTGTGTGTGTGATTCATCCATTTTGTCTTTAATGTTTTTATTAAATTTTTCCAATTTGTTGGTTTGTAATTTAAGAAAACTTGTTTATATATTCACACGCACACACACGCACACGTATATATATATATATATATATATATATATATATATATATATATAGGAAATCCAGTTGATTTATAATCCAAGTGTAACCTATTAATATAATATAAATTAACATGTTAAAACTGATTTACAGAGAGAGCACAATGTTTCATTCAAACAGCATATAATTTATAAACAATAGGAATTAGGATTACTCCATAATATCTATCTATCTATCTCTCTCTCTCCCTCTCTCTCTCTCTCTCTCTCTCTCTCTCTCTCTCTCTCTCTCTATATATATATATATATATATATATATATATATATATATATATATATGTATATATATATATAATAAAAAGGCTTAAACACTAATATTCCATGGTCATAATTTAATCCATTTATTACTCTGTCCTGGACATTGAGCTCTACCTGGATTCTATCCTCTTGAAATTTTTTATTAAAAAATATATATATATGTATGTGTATGCATCTATGTATATATATTTATATATTTTGCATATGTATGTGTATGTTTACCACTAATATTATCTATCTATCTATCTATCTATCTATCTATCTCTCTCTCTCTCTATATATATATATATATATATATATATATATATATGGGGTGTATTTGAGCAGCAATCACTCTTTTATACAATTTTCATTAAAGACGACCTGACATGATACTGCGATTAAGATTTTCATTCAATCTGTCTTGTACAAGTCTTTTCTTTTCTGGTGTGTAAAAACTGTCCAAATGTTTTTGTTTTGTTTTATATCCGTGTGCTTTAGGTTATTCTATTAGCCATTAAAGGTTTTTTAACTGAATATAGATTTTTATATATGTATCTAGAATGATAATATATATATATATATATATATATATATATATATATATATATATATATATATATATATATGGCAGGGTTGTACCTTTTGAAAGCAAATTATCAAGGATGATTTTAATCTTTATTTTTAACTAAATGTATGGATTTTTTTTATGTATGTTTCTATAGTAATTTTTTTTCCAAACACAGTCAGCACAATATCTGTCTATATCTTTGAGATTAAGTATGATGATTACTTACATTATTCGGACTGTTATGCTCATCTTCATCGCCATATTCACAACATTTCGGCCGTTGTACGGTCCGGCCTTCTTCATGTGATTTGAATTTCGAACCCTTTATTTCGTTCACCGGGGTAGAATTTCTAGTTCCACGGGTCATGCCTCTTCCGGAAAATCTAAGTTATTTCCCTTTAACTCAACTTTCCAAGTTTAGTTCACCACTGCTGTTGCCTGGTATTGAACTCAAAACTCTTTGGGTCTAGTCACTGGATCTAACCAACGTCTTTATCCACTGAGCCATGTATCAGCATATAGCCGTATTCCTATTTCATGTTACATTGAGTGTTGGATGTTTTCTTTTTTTTATTAGTGCTTCCATAATTTTTAGACTTTTTTTTTTAACCGTGGATAAGTCTATTATTCTTGTATTTTCCTTAGGTATGTTGCGGGTGCAGTTTGGTAAGTTTTCGTTGCGTTTAAATGAATCCTAATTGAGCTATGGTCGGAGAAGTGTAAAGTGAGTCTTTCTGATAGGCACGTAGTGGTATGCCCAATATAATTATTCATGAATTTCGTTTTATCAGGAACATAGTTCCTTATGGGTCATGTGAATTCATAAATAATATAGGTAATATATGCAGAAGTATTGATAAGGTTAGCTGTTTCATGCTAAAGCGTAATCTTCAGGCCATGTGTGTTGTGTGTTGACTCGACAGTTTATATCTGTTATATTTACATATGATCTATCCCTAACTTTAAGCCTTTTTACCCATAAATATAGCATATGTAAATACATATACCTGCACTGATTATAATTTATATATATGTTCTGGTTACAGAGAATATATATATATATATATATATATATATACATATATATATATATATATATATATAATTCTATGTGTTTATGTGTTTACACACACACACACACACACATATATATATATATATATTTAACAAATAATATTCTCTAAGACAAATACTATTAAAAAACGATATATACATTTTGTGTTGATTAATTTTAATTGAGTTTTCCAAGTTACGAATAATCCATCAGAAATTGTCAGAAGCTCATTTCGAAAGAAATGTACTGGAAACAGTCCAAGTTTTTGATTTTCCTAAGTCATCGTCAGGGTACATATATATATATATATATATATATATATATATATATATATATATATATATATATATATTTTACCCATAAATATAGTAACCATTTATATATAAATATATATATATATATATATATATATATATATATATATATATAAACGA